GTTTTCCTGAGAAACTATTTTGTAGATAATAATATGTAAAACGATAACCATTGATAATTTCCTACCATTTTGTCTGTAATTTGCTAAGTCCCCCCTATTATTATGTTATCCTTCTTTTATTCTTTAAAATAAAAAAAGAATAAAATTCAAAAATTTGGCATGTCTAAGTTATGTCAGACCAAACCAGGACGCAAGCTTATTGGACACGGCACCCCTAGCAAACAACACAACCCTGCTCCAGATCACATAAGACATAGGCCGGGAATTCTAGAGAAATGACCAAAAGACACTGCTTTTATGCTTCATAGACACAGAAGGGTGAGTCTGTGAAGGAATGACATTAAAAATAGGCACCAGCACTGGGCACAGTGCTGCCCCCCTGACCTGCCATCCCGGAGACCACCTGATGAATATGGCGCAGGCCCCACAGGCTGTGAACTCGGCTCTGTCGCCTTCTGTCAGCTTAGCGCCACCTCCCTGCTCAGTGTGACCCACTTGAGCTGACTGCGGTCCAGACTCAGGCTTTGAACCAACCCTGTGCTGTTGACAGTCACTCACGTCCCAAGGAAGCAGCCCCACCTGGCCCGTGACCTCACCCAACCGCCTGTGGTGACTTCCCTCTTCGCCTTGGCTTCCAGTCCTTCTTCTTCAAATCCTGCAGCCACTGTGAACGTTTCTCAGGATTCTCTAACCTTTAATTGTGGGAGGTAAGAGGTGGAAGGTGTGCGACAGGTGCTCTAGATATTAGTAATCAACTCCTAATTAAGATTGCCCAGCTCGAGGGCTACCAAGTGAACTCAGTGCTCCGCCTGACAAGCAACAAAACCAATGTAGCTCGTGACTTTGACTGTGCTTCAGTAAATCCTGACACTGTGGGAAGACCCAAGTGTGCAGTTACTATGTTACTAGCACAGCTCACCTACAATGCCCATGTACATGTAAGGAGTAAAATCTGTATACTTTTCTCTTGTTAATCACCACTTGGCATTAACTGAGTTCTTAGACCTACCCAAAGAGTCACACAAAAATTAAGGGAGTGAAGGATAGTGACACATGCATGTAATCCCAGCTACTCAGGAGGCTGGGACAGGAGGGTCACAGAGCCCAAGGAAGTTCTACAAATGACACTCCTTGGGTCATATAGCCATCTGTTAAACAAGTCATTGTTGCCACACAAATGCAATACCATGGCTGGCCAGGCCTGGTTTATGCACCCAGGCTTATGGGCATGGGTTGAAAGTCCATGAACATTAAAACAGGAATGGAATAACTTTCTTGGTAAGCAAGAAAATATCACAAGTGTACAAGTTTAAATTAAGACAATGCCAGCGCTGATGGGGTTCAAGATGAGGAGCCCATGGCTGACTCTAAGGCTTTTGGTTTAGAAAACTGGGTAGATGAGTGCCATCCCCTACGAAAGATAAGTCAGGCCAGGGGCATCAGCACATCCCTGTAATCCCAGCTACTTGGGAGGCTAAGGCGGGAGGATCCCAAGTTTGAGGTCAGCCTGAGCAAAATAGAGAAACAAATGAATGAAGAAAGACTTCAGGCTGGGGGCAGGTAATGGTGCAAGACTGAGGAGAGTTTAAGACGTGAAATGATGGACCAACCACAGAGACACGTCCAGTGCAGATGTCTAGACTTAGAGGCCTAACTCAACAGAAAAATAAAAGCTAGAGACATAAATTTAGGACTTTTTGTCATGTGAAAGACAGATAATGTCATGTTGTTTCCAAGCATAGGTCCAGAAGATCACCCCACAGAAAAGCCAAGGTCTGAGGCAAGTGTTGGGGAAAAGAAGTGTTCCACACAGAGGCCAAAGTATGGACCAGTGGGATCTCACAATCAAATTCCAGGTATGGGAAAGGAACAGTGAGGGAGAGAAAAGAGCAAATCAAGGGAGAAATACTCATGTTCTTTGGGGGGAAGGGTAGAGGCCTTGCGGGAACTCAAGGTTTGCAGTCTTGGTTGCTGGAGTCTTCAGCCCTGAAGGGGAAAGGAGAGATTAGGTGTCTCAGACACTCCTCGCTGATGGGACAAGATACCTAACCGCTGCAGTCTGAAGGAAGAGAGCTTTACTTGGCTCTTGTTTCAGAAGGTTCCATCCATGTTGGACGGCCTGGGGGAGAATGCTGAGCCCATCGTGGCCAGGAAGCAGAGTGAGGAGCAGGAGAAAGGAAATATCCAGCAATTTGGCTGCTGTTTACTCACCTTTCTGAAAGCTTCGTTTTGAACTGTCACGCAATTTATACTCCAACCAAATACATGACAACTGATGGACAGCTTGCATCATTCTGTGGCTGTGGTAGCCTTCGGCAATATATGCCAAGTGAACCTTCCAGACATGGTATAAAAACACATGTCCTGGTAGATGAGAAGACGTTTTACACCTTGAGTTTAGAAATTTATCCTGGAACTCTGCCACCAAGTCTGTATGCATACAGTAATAAACTGTATGACTTTGTCAGCAAACTATTTCAAAAAGTAACTGAAATGTCACATTTGACAATTGGTTCACTAGCTACCCATTGATACAGTGATCCCTCACCTATGGCAGGAGTTAGTTCCAGAGACCCCCTACAATAGGTGAAATTCCACAAAGTAGTGGCGTTATATTTATTTTATTATTTATATATATTTTAAGGCTTTACAAACCCTCCCCACACTCCTATAAGCCTTTCTCACTCTCTTATTAACCTTTCCCACATTCTTATAAACACTTCATATGCTCTTAAACACTTTCTACACTCTTAAACCTACATAATTTTAACAACATGTGAAACTCTATGTGGGTACTTGATGTGAAGCAGACAAGGAGAGATGCTGAATGTATGGGCACAGTACAGGAGAGCAAACAGACCGATGCTGCGGTCACTGAGCCAATCAGCCCCAGGATACAGAACACAGTGCTGTGATTGGTCGCCTTCCAGTCCATCAGCCAATAGTGTGCCGGGTACAGTCTCACGCTGGCAAACTTGCCCGAGCGGTAGTGGCCTACTGCATTTCCATTGTGTACAGTACGGTATTCATCCACTGATGAAATACATACTGTATTTTATTTTGATTTAATATTCTTTTAATATGTCTGAATTAACGTTTTTATGTTGATTTAAACATTTTAGGCAAAAATAATTAAAATCATAAATGTTATATAAATACCCATATACTGCAAAACACCATGATATAGTGAAAACGCTGCAATACAGAATTAGATATATTTTTTTAAAACCTGTGATACAGTGAAGCTGCAATAAGTGACCCCCGATATAGCAAGGGATGATGGTATTTCATTTGCTAAAATAACACTAGTTTGCCAGCACAGGAACAATTCTCAAGAACAAAACCAGAGATTCTTGAAAAAAATGTTTCGAGTTCACAGCAGAGAAATGTATAATACAATCTTTGCACTTCAGAAAGACATAACCTTGGCCTCCTATATGGTGAAGAAAAACAAAGTAATATTGATACTGTCAACATTACACCATGATGATAAGATTGATAGTGAAGCCAGGTCTGGTGGATCATGCCGATAATCCCAGTTCTTGGGAGGCTGAGGCAGGAGAATCCTGTGAGTTCCAGGTCAGCTTGTGCTACAGAGTGAGTTCAAAGCCAGCCTGGACTACATAATGAGACTTTGTCTCAAACAACCACAACAACAACAAGATTTACAGTGATTCCTGGGGCTGGGGATTTAGCTTAGCGGCAAAAGCGCCTGCCTGGCAAGCGCAAGGTCGTGAGTTCGGTTCCCGGTACCGGAGAAAAACCAAAAAAAAAAAAAAAATACAGTGATTCCTCAACATAAATGAAGCGAGAATTGGTCACATTTTACAACAAAATGAAAGGTGGAGGAGTAGATGTTGTCCATGAGTTATGCAGCAACTAAGATATCCTCAAACACAAAGAGTTGGCCGATGGTTATGTTTTGCTCAGTCCTAAACACGTGAGGCATAAACATTTTCATAGTTTACAAAGAAAATAACATGCACAGGATATCATGGGGAAATTTTCTTAGAGGACTGGGACTTGAACTGATAAATGATCAAGGAAGAATAGTATGTATCTGCCCAAAGAACTCTGCAAAGGAATTCTGGGGCAAACCTGTGACTCATCAGAAGCACCTCCTCGAAAACAGGAAGACCAACCAGATGTCAAGTATGTCCTACCAAAGAAGACAGGAAAAGAAAAAGCACACATGTGCTATCAGTGTTAGTGAGACTTTTGTGTGGAACGTGCCATTCTCATGTGTGAAAACTGCGTTAGGTGTAATAATTGAAGTAAAGATATATTTTTGTGGTAGAGTTCTATTTGTATTTTCAGTGTAGTTCATATAGGAATTTGTTTCTATGATCAAGGAAGAATAGTATGTATCTGCCCAAAGAACTCTGCAAAGGAATTCTGGGGCAAACCGGTGACTCATCAGAAGCACCTCCTCGAAAACAGAAAGACCAACCAGATGTCAAGTATGTCCTACCAAAAAAGACAGGAAAAGATGTTTGGAAAGAAGACAGTTGATGCTGAAAATGTTGATGTTTATTCTAAATACTTAGTACATTTATTTTATTTCATGGATATTTTATTATCCTGCTCAGTACACATTGTATACTATAATAACCTCCTGACAAAACAAGGAAACTAGAGAGATGTCAAGTACATCTTGCCAAAAAGACAGAAAAACAGAACACACATGCTACCAGTGTAAGCGATACCCAAGTATGGAACATGGTGTTTTCAAGTATGAACAATGCCTTAGATGTGATAATTGAAGTAAAGATTTTGTGGTAGGGTCTTATTTGTACTTTCATTATAGTTCACATAGGAATTCATTTCTGTTTTAGATTTTATAAGCAAATAAACAATTGATGTTGAAAATGTTCTAAACTCTCTTTGCATACTAAAAATTTAATATTTTATTTTTGTTGATATTTTATTTTCCTGTTAAGTACACATTGTATACTATAATAAAACTCATAAAATTAAATAATTCATCAGTAGAAATACTCCTAAAAAATAAATGTGGGTGTTGTACATCCACTTCAAGCTTCTTCTTTGGAAACTTAACACGACCCCCAGAGGGATAAATTCACCATCCTTAAATGATTTTGACCTTCTTCAGTTAGATTTGTTACTGTACATAGAATCCATTTGCGCTGAAATTTTTTAAAAAATTGTTCAGGTGACAGATTTTTTTTCAGTCCCACTTTTTATCTTTCAAAACATCCTATGATATCCATTGAATGTGGCAACAAGTTTTTGTTTGTTTTTTGATTTTTTGGGTACCGGGAGTCGAACTCAGGACCTCATACTTGCCAGGCAGACACTTCGACGCTTCGACACTGAGCTATATCCCCGGCCCAGCAATACATATGATGTTTTTTCAGATTGTAAATTTTTAAGATTGACATAATTTCCCTACAAAAAGTATGTGCCTTATTACTCATCTTGACTAACATTTTGTTAAACATTTTCCTTCTGCCATAATTTTTTCTTTTTTTTTTTTTGGGGGGGGGTTTTTTTTTTTTTTTTTTTTGAGATGTTGAAGCTGTGCTGGAATTTAAATTTTAAAACACCAGTAAATAAGCAAACTTTGCCCCAGTGTGGTGGTACACACCTGTAATCACAGCACCGAGAAGACTGAGTCAGCAGGATCCCTGCGAGTTGGAAACCACAAACTGAGTTGAAGGTCAGCCTGAACTGCATAGTAAAACCCTGTCCCAAAAATAAAAGAAAATCTTGTTTCTAGTATAAGGGAGGCTGAGTAATTATGACAATATTGAAATCAAAAAACTATTTGATACGTCTTTGTACTTTCTATACAACTCTCAAAAACGAGATTGGGGCGGGTCTCCGGGGAACTGACACAGCTGGGGGCAGGGCCCCGCGAGGCGTGACGTACTGGGGCGGGGCCACGGTAGGCGGGGCTTTGCCAGGGACTGGGTTGCGCGGAAAGGACGGTGCGGGGGGCGTGGTCTGCAGGACTTCCACAACTGCGTAGTGCGCAGGCGTGCGCAGACCGCCCGGGGGGGAGGGGCGGTTGCGGCGGCGGTTGGCCGGCTGAATTAAGGGCTACGCCGGCTCCAGCCTTGGGAGGTGGCGGGACGGCCTGGTGGGTGCAGCCCGCGGCGGGACCGGGACCGGACGAGGACGAGGGGCCCGGGACGAGGACGGGCGTCCGGGGAAGCCAGGCCGGCGGGCGGGACGCG